TTATGAGAGCAATTCAGGGCATGTGATCTTCGGTGAGCCAGTAGCTGCTGGCTTAGCTCTTGATGGCTCTCACTACTTTGACAAGGTGAGTGTTTAGAAATCATGAATAGTGAAGCAATATCTCTATTTTTCCCAGGATTGGTTACATGCCGCTAGGTACGTAATGTCTCCACCGCTTAGCGTCGATAAGTCAACACCGGAAGCCCTTATGGACATGCTAGCCGCGTTAGTTCTATTCCGCTCATTTCTAGAAAAATCTATAACTTCAAGATCAGACCGGAAAGCACAATGAGTTTCAGTGATCAACTACACCTGACAGGAACCGACAACTGCACATTCAACGGAGACCAGAAAATGGCCGGTCGTCATGATTTCACTAAAATTCCAAATGGAGTGAACGGTGTCGAAGATCGTATGAGCATCGTATGGGATCGTGGCGTTCATTCTGGAAAAATCAATCCAATGCGGTTTGTGCAAATTACAAGGTATGTTATTACCTGTATCACCTGTCGTCCCGTTGATCATCGAATTTGCTCGAGCGGGCGCCAGCAACGTCTCCATTCGTCCCTGTCGCGTGCAAGAGTTGTCCAGTGGACCCTCCTCGCTCGAGGGACACGATGTCCTTCATTCCTTTCGTTCAGAGCTTTCGTGAAGAAGTCTGACCATCGGGCCGGCGGTCGTCCAGGTGTTCGTTTGACGTCCCGAGGGATCCAGTCGGTAAGGGGGTAACCGATGAGCAATAGGGTGTCGCGCCAAGTTTAGCTCGCATACGGCTTCGAGATCTTACAGTGAAAGGATCGTGGTACGGGTGTATACAGGAGAACGCGTTGAATTTCGCGCACTATGGTCAATCATGAAGAACGGATCAGGGTCACCGTTAGTTGGACCTATATTGGACGGCGTGGACGATGCTCAATGTCATCAGACCGGGTGGCGGAACTTAGAATATAACAGTATACGGTAAGCCAATTAAGGAGTTACAGTAATGTGCCTCGCCCTCCTCAGACCTCCCTGTGGGGTGACCTCATTAAGTTGCTTGCGCTGACCTCTTCTTGACTTTTCGCCCAAACAGAATATTGTTTACCAATACATCATAATAACGTATGCTAAATAATTTGCTCCGCTGAAGCTTTACCCTTGGAAGCAGAAATTTGAACATATTGGAAGTTAATTTGTATTCTAAATTTCTTATTGAAGTTTGTGCGATGTTTCCCGCTCTTTCCATTCCATGAATCCACAATGTATCTACTAGATTAAGCGGCAGCACAAAATATCAGGGTGTCCAAAAGTATTGAGTTTTTAAAGTTTTCTTTTTAAAGTTTACCGAATTTTTACTCAACAGAAACTAATAAGAGCTTCAGTTCTCTGTTAATCGCTGTTTTGGCCGCAGTTCGCCTAACAATTCAAGAGCAAAGCAAGTCAAAATTAATTGCTAAACCTTCAGCCTCATTGCCGATATTTGGCTCAACACGTTATACATGTGAGTGCCGCAGCTACGAGAAAGTACACTATGAAAAGCTGAGTTGTGGCAAAGCGGTACAGTTATGGCAGTTATGGCGCATTTGCCTAGTAAGCGAGAGGCGCGGGTTCGAGTACACTTTGAGTGGAAATCTTGTTCATACCCAAAGATACTTAACCAGTAAATTATTGCCACCACCATCTCTATCGGTCGGATAGTGGATGTAGTCAGAGTCAACCGTGAGTTTAGCCAAGCCACGGTTCGTATTTTCTTCGGGAATGGGGGTCGTATTTAGGGTTTACAGAAGTTAACAACCCCCCCGCGCGCGAGTCAGTTCAGTAGAAGTTCGAGAGGGAAGTCAAGGAGGTCGCGTTTGTAATAAATGGTTGTTTCGGATGATTTTGATGATTTCGGTAAGCTTTGAAAAAATCGTAAAATAAAAAATGAAGCATTTGTTATGTTTCTGCATATATGAGCACTCTCCAGCATTCTCCTCCATGGCAGTTTTGAAGGGGAACATGGGAAAGTTGTAGTTTCCCGACAGCCTTCGAAACACTCGAAGCAGCCCCGTGGTGATGGTGCAGGTTAATAATACATGTCGTTTCGATAACTTTGTTGCATAATCAATATTCTGTTTGGGCGAAAAGTCAGGAAGAGGTCAGCGCAAGCAACTTAATGAGGTCACCCCACAGGGAGGTCAGAGGAGGGCGAGACACATTACAGTAACTCCTTAATTGGCTTACCGTATACTGTTATATTCTAAGTTATACGAAACCCGCAATCCGCGCCGGCATTCACTCTCGCCACCCGCGAGCCGTCTGTGTCTCCGTGCGTCACTCTCGGCATTACTCTCGTCGTCGCGTTGGACTTTGTCCAACGGACGGTTGACCCTGCCCGAGTGGGAAGGTGGAGCAGCAGACAACGTATAGGACACGCCTTTTCTTGTTCACGTCAATGGATTAGATGTCAAAACCCCTGTTGTGTGTTGACTTGGCGTTGACCGTGGAGCAGCTTAGCTACTATTGAAATTTGAAGAAATATTCAAATGATTATAACATTTTTCAAACATGACAAATTTTCAATCTGGAAGCATTCAGCAGTTTTGTAAAGAGCTGTTTTTTGTAAAGAGCTTTTTCTAACGCAGTATTTGAATTACAAAAAAAATTTATAAGAAATAACAAATTTAGATCAATTAACGAGGAAAATTCATGATGAGCACGAGTTTTTACACTTTCCGAAGCCATAACTTGCTTCATTTTCATCAAATTGAAAGTGTTAATATGTCATGCAAAACTAGAAGATTTTCTCTATTAAACAGTTGCTAAAGCATTTCATACGTCCAGTATTCAAAAAATGGCCACGTTGAGGATTTTTGCAAAATTAACGAGGAAAATTCGTGATGAGTGCGAGTTTTTTTCACTTCCTAAAGCCATAACTCCCTTCAAACTCATCCAATCTGGAAAGTTAATACGTCATCATAAACTAAAGATTTGCTCCATTGAATAGTTGTAGACAGCTGCTGAAAACGTTCACTATTTAAGAAACGAGCTACGTGAGATTTCTTGCACCGGGTAACCTTTTTGACTGCATTGGTACTATTTAACATCAATAGCTCTTTAAGGCGATTATCTAGTAAGTAGGGAAGAGATACGGGAATCCGGTGCACGTCTCTTCAAAAGTGCAAAACTGTTTCGCAGTTTTCCAGTATTAAGGGTTAACATGTTATGAAATTTGGACGCTGAAGAATGCGTTTCGCGAACGTTAGCTGAAGGATTCCTTCAACGCACCTTGACCCTTCCCGCAACCCACACCTTCGTGCGGCAAGCCCCACTCCGCTGTCGGTTGCCACGTGGCGCTGCTTGAAAAGCGCGGGCGCATTTGAGGCAGCGGTCCCAGCGCGAACCCAATGTCATTGGCACTGGAGCAACTAGAGTTAGGTTCGTGAAACTCGTCCAACGCGCCCCTTCTCTATCCCAAGGTGGAATGCGGCTGAAATAGGGGAGGTCTCTGTGGCGTAATCGGTGGTTTCGTTTGCTTTCCTTCTCTTTTACAGACCACCTCCCACCTCTAGCTTCATAACTGAACGCTTTTCCACACCTATTTTATCCCGAATCTTGCCCTTAAGTAGTCCGAGGGTCCCTCTCGCTCGAGAAACACGCAGTCCTTCATCCATTTCGTTGAGGAAAAAGGAACCATATCGGTGAATTTTGAGTGATAACTATGCAAAACACAAATGGCGCAAAACTATTACAGCAATATTGAATGCATAGGACTTAATCGGAGGTGTAATGGTGAAATTCCGACCAAAAGAACGTGTAATGGCTATGAAAAAGCAAATTTTACTTTTTTCCTGAGAAGCATATTTGACGATACGGTGAACCATGTCGTTGACGCTTATGTAATAGTGGGTGAATATGTATGTAATAGTGATCCATGAAATGAATATAAGCAATTTGGGAAAAAGTCGCGGAAGCGCAAGAAGAAAGTATGACTTGGTGGTGACGCGTTACCGCGTCACAATGTCCGGGCTGGTTTGCAAAGTGGAACGCGTTATAGCGTCATGTTGTCGTCGGCGTAATGCACCATGAAAAGTAAAGGTAGAAGTGGTCAGCGGTGCACGAATGAAGAAAACCATGGGAACGGTTCATAACTCGAGAAATGCCACCCCCCTCTTTACTCATTGGTTTCCGCCTTGGTGCGACTCTCCTCGATGCTACTAAACGGCTAGTGTCAGACGGCGAGAGGGTGGGCGCGCAGCGGCGTGAGGCGGGGGTATGGCCCTGCTAGACTGCTGGAACATACTCCTCGCTGCGAAATCAACATCGTTTCGCAAATTTAGGTGGCCCGCCTGCCTTTCAACTAGATATATATTCCCTTTATTCAGTCCTTCAATCCAAACCTGTAACATGCCTTCAAGTGCCGGAGTGGACCGAAAGGGTGGTTTTGTACTGCCGATTGACCGAGCTAATAGAAATGATAGTCGTTAGGGGAACTCAGAATGATTGGGCGAAAAACTGAAGCTTTCAGTTCGATGGCCGCAAAAATATTCAATATTTATCCGAAGAAAGGTCGAATCGCTGTCGATTCTGATGCAGACATTGTAATTTGGAATCCAAATAAGAAGCGGACAATTTCAAAAACCACTCATCATCACGTGGGTATTCAACCTGTTGGCATTTTCTCATTCTTACCAATGAAATATCACTTTGTAGGCTTCCGATTTCAACGTCTTTGAAGGGATGACCGTTTTTGGTGTCGCCGAGATAACCATTTCACGTGGAGTGGTAAACAATTTATTTAAAACCCGAATTTTGCGGCACATTCATGTTGAATTTCTCTTTCCGCAAAACAGCAATAGTGAAAATGAATCAATTAGTGAAAAAATCTACTGAATTTACGCGCGTAAAATCGATTCTTACTCCAGTGCACAGACATTAGTTTGAGGGTTACGTGGCTACTTGAACTTTCCTCCACATTCCCTGTCGCCTGAGGCTTGAGTGCATGCGGGTAGAGGACAGCTGCGATTTCAGTTCCAAAGATTGCTAGCAAAAGAATCTGTGAACCAGGGGAAATGCAGGGGACTAGGGGGGTGAGGGTGGGAAGCCAGTCGACGTAAGACAAAAGGTGGAGCGTGCGAGGTCACAGTGTCCACCAGGGTAAACTGCCCGGGTTCCAATTGCCAAAAAATCCTTAAAAGGCACCACTCGGGATCGAATAGGTGTATACTTTGTTTGAAACTTAGGCAATAAGTGCAATGAGAACCCTCCGCGTAAAGAAAAAGTAAAAAGAATCACGGAAAACATCGAATTTCCCCCCATGAGGTCGGCCAACATGACGGAGAAGCACAAGGAGAGGAATCACGAGAGAGTACGCCGGACGCAAGAGGACGCAAACGCCACGTATGCCACAATTAATAAGACCCCTTTCCCATATCCCCAATGTCCGAACAAGACCCCTACACCACCATGGCTGCTTCTATGCATAGTACCCCTGACGTCAGTCGACACAACCCAACATCCACTTTTTTCTCCAAAACCCGACCGAGCAGGGGAAAGGGGAAGGGGAAGGGGCGCTATACCTGTCCAATAAAACGAAAAAAAACTACCCTAGGCTAATACGTCCCCCTCGCTGAGAATTGCGCAACGCACAGTTGACCCTAGTGGTCACAAAAACTCGATCCAGGCAAAAGGGTGCGATATGGGCTATTTTTTGAGGAACGGAGTTCAAGTACCCACAGTACTGCGATAATATGAAGTTGTATTTTAGGTGGTGTGGTCAGACAACAAATTGTCAGTTGAAGCAGGTGCAGGTCATTTCGTTCCACTGGCACCATTTTCTCCTACCGTATTTGCCAGCGTTGCACAGCGAGCTAAGGTAAACATTCGCAGAGAACTCTTTCATTGTTTTTCATGGCACGTGTGTTGTTTACTACGTGTGTACTACTGAAATGTTGATGGATGCTTGTTTAGGCAATGGCTCCTCGAGCAGTAAAGAGGGAAAAGAAAAAGAAATCAAAAAGCAGAAGTAAAGAATAATAGTGTCATTACGTTCGATTAATCATATTCAAACTAATAAACGGGAAGGTTACTGATGTACACGAAATCAAGCTCTATAAAGGTTTTCTGGAAAGCTCAGCAACGGAGTTAACTCCGAAATTCTTTGCAATATGTGGATAAAGATGAAGCACTGGCTTGAAGCTTAAAAAACCCTACACCATCTCTGGACTAATGAGCTAAATAATTATCTGCTACAGAGTCCCTGTCCTCTACGCGGCAATTTCGGCCGGAGAAATATTACGGCCATATGAATTCCAATAATACGGATCCCGTCCACGACTGGACCGATCCAGTTTCCGAACCCTCAAACGACTACAGCGTGCTGTTCATCTTGTCATGGTAAGAACACCCCAGAATGTTCGAATTTCTGGCCAGCACGCAATTCCCCTGGGCTCAACACACGAGAGCCTTCTATGTTATACGAAAAAAACCGCTGCGGCGTTCGAACACTTCAAAGCACGGTCGCATGTATAACACACCGAGCAATTCTCGTAATACGGCTAGCTGCTACCGGAAAGGGGTCTCCAAGAAGCAACCTCGTCTTTTCCGGAATTTTGCAGCCCTAGTTAGAAGCAGCGACCTTGAAAATGTGAAATGAAACAACGAGGCGCTTGTTTTCGTGCTCGGCTACCACACATTCTTCCTAGTCGAATATGCTGGACAAATATGCCGTTCCTTCCGCCTCCGGAAAAAACACCCCTTAGCCGAGAGCAGATGATAGTGATTGATTCAACGTTCTGGCCATACCTGAAATTGGTGACTATGTCTCCGTTCCCATAAGTGGGATCCAATACATTGTGTGCATTATGTTGCCACCTCTTATAATCCTATTATTTCGAGCTGGTTTTTTTAGACAAGGCAGGATGAGGTGCCCGTGGACGGGGGGACATGCGACACTTTCGAACCGGATGGTGGAATATGGCGTTAGAGCAAGACTGTCAAACCAAATATTGCACCAAAATTGGGGGTACACAAACTACTACGAAAAAATTTTCAAACCAGTGCATAAAAACGTATGCACCCAAGAGGTTTACTCAGTCAACATAGACATGTCTCAAGGAAAGGAATTCGCCTGTAATAAGAAGCAATGCGAGAAGAGCAAAACTCATCAGTTCTTGCTGAAGCGGGCTTCATTGTTGGCATCTTCACATCCAAGATGTATTTACTCCCATTTCCCTTTTTACTTGCATCATCACTTCATTATATAAACCAGAAGTTTGGTGTGTCGGTGTTTGTGGTGGTATTTGAAGCGACTGTAAAGCAAGAGCTAAGGATTAGGCCTGTGGGCAGTCACCGCGCGACGTCGTACACGCGGCTTGCCGCGTGCGGGAAACCGCGCGACAAATTCGAGCGAGGTTTTAGGCATTTACTGCTTCCCGCGCCTGTGTATTCGTCAGTTACTTTCCTTTGTTTCCTTTTAATTTGACTCAAGCGTTCGCGTTGACACTAGAGCGTTCATACTTACAAGTGTTATGTGAGGTGGTACCGGGACACTGTGGGTGAAATAGGATGATAGAAACTAATGTCAGGGCGCCTTGAACTCACAAGTCCCCATTCCGTTGAGCAGCTGACATTGACACTTGAGCGTTCATAATTACAAGTGTTATATGGGGTGGTACCTGGACATTGTAGGTGGGCGACAAAAATGATAGCAACTGATAGGGGCTGATAAGGAGTCTTAGAAGGCAGAAGTCGGCAATTCCATTGCGCAGTTCACGTTGGCACTATGGGGCTCTTTTCATAAGTGTTATTAGGGGTGGGTCGTGGACATTCTATCGATATAATCAGCTTGGCTTGAGCAGACTCTTGGCGAATGGTACATTCCATTCTTGATCTAATACCAAGAAGACCAGAACTCATTTAATGACCGCCAAAGCTTAGGATTTGCGAACACTGTGAATGAAGGATCAGCATTAGATGCTCACTTATGATAATGTTGCAATTTAATTGTGAGGCTAACACCATAACCCTATTCACCGCTAAATTATCAAAATTCAGGAGAATGGCCGAGTGTTTACAGAGCTATGTGTGATAAATATACCTAGAGTTTAACAAATTTTCTTGTGCCTTACGAGGTTGTTCGGTGGAACCTTTATTAATGGCCTAACGTTTCGACTGAATCGTCGTCTTCAGAGGCCGTCGGTTCCACCCTTCGAGCGGAAAAGTCCGCTGCCACACAGAGCGCTGATCAGTTATACCTAGAGTGCCTGCGGAATCTTAGGTCGTATGATACGCGCGACCGGGCGGAGCAAAGCTGGTGATAATAAAAAGAAAGCAGAGAACGAACTGAAAATCTTCGTTGTGGGGGGGGGGACTTAAGGCTTAGGTTTACAGAAAGCATCAAGCGTGTTAAACTTCGAGCAATTTGAAAAGAGCGAACAAAGTACCGTATGTTTAACTGTCAACTTCTGTGTTTCAGTGGTTGGAGTAGGAATCCGTGCTTCAGACAAAAGAGTGCATCGTAAGTGTCCGGGGTCACAAAAGGTACGGACCCCCTAAATCTTGCGCCTGGGCACATGAGAAGTCTGTGATAACACGAGTCTCTTGTCCATTCTGCATCAGTTGTTAATTGACCAGTCCACCCTAACAACAGAGCACTTATTGCCACCAAATCTCAACCAAAGAGCAACAAGTGATCCACTAGGTCATCTGGGTCGCAATTAACAAAACAAGACAGCCTTGTGACAACATTTGAACCACTTGGGGTTTGGAGAAATTTAATGGCAATTCTAAAAATAAACAAGATCAAGACTCCCAGGTTAAGAGGAAATTCTGCACCCTTGACTAAAGGTTACGCATTCTAAATAATCTGCCCCTTCCGTTATCCCAATTCGTTCTGTTGCCACAGCACCGCGTATAAATTTCGGTTGATTAGAGCAACTTCCGGTAGCTCCATCAGACAATATTGGAATTGCTTTACTGAAAGACTCTTCCACTCTCCAGATCTCGAATCCAAATCTTGAATGATCGACAGTTGGGGTAAAGGCGTTTTGTGTCATCTCCACAGGCCTCATAGGAGCTTGGACCTTCACAATAGAAAAGTAATATCGTTTATAAGCAAGGAATAAAATCGATTGCCCTTAATAAAGAATAAAAAATTTTTATCAAGTAAAAAATCTCATGACGACTCATGTTGGAAGCCCGCTTATTCCACATAGATTCTATCAAGTACAGGACAGGTCACCTTCCGATGACACGAAACCTGACTCAACTTCAGCGCAATATATCGCAGTGATTAGCTCTCTCAAAATCAAAATACGACTCCAGAAAAACGCTGAGGGTGATTGCTGACTAACATTCTCCATATCCGGATCTACAAACCTTTTTCTTGAGCTCACTGTCATTTTTATTGAAAGGCAATATCTCTCTATTTCGCAAGAAATCCGGAAAGCGAAAGACAGTTTGAAAAGCGAAGGTTTAATCCAGCAAGCTTTTCACACTGATCCATTGTTTCAAGCTTTCCCTTCTTTTCCTTGTGGTAATACCTGCCTCAAGAGATACTCTGGACACGCTCGAGTGAGGGTTCTAAAATCGATGTTATGTTCTCGCCCGAAGCAGTGTCAAAGGCCGTTCCCACCTAATATACCTTTGGCACGGATCGGCAAGTGTCATAAAATTCCGTGTCTAATAGAACACAAGCGCTCTTGCTTACAATTATTATATCTAGAATCCCATGAATCTCCTCCCAACGTTTAAGCGAGGATAATAAAAGCACGCAAGTTCGAGTGCACTCAGCGCGGTGTAGGCCATGCCATCCGATCCTTTCCCAACTCAGCCAATTGCGAACGACTGATATAGCCCGTGTTGTCAACTAAATCATGAGACCAGTTCAAACAGCATTTCTAGACGACAGTCGCTCCGATTGATCACACCACGAGGTGATTACCCGCGAGAGGAAGGTCGTGGAGCATGCAAATGCGGTAGAGCGACACAGCGCGAATTTGCACTTGATAGATGGACCCGTCGCTTGAACGATCGTAGTATGCACTCTTTCCATTCTTTGTATTCTTTTAAGTTTTCAAATATCTAATTTTCACATGAGAAGAATAGAGCCAATGCGTGTATCCACAACATTCGAATAGATATAGTTCTTTGATGATCTTCTTAAATTTTTCAATGCATTGTAACCTCATTCTCCTCATGCATCACGGGCGCTACACCCTCGCCTACTCCTATTCTCTACCTTAAATGCCTACTGATGTTAGCTGACCGGCCCCCGAGTAGCGAGCCCCGCCATGACCCCTCGACCACCAGCCCAACAAGTAGCTCAACCTCGCGCACTCTTGTACGCAACTCGGGTCCGGCTGTGGCCTTGCTCGACGAGGAGACTATTGCTCGAGCAACGAATCTATCACCTGCTCATACATGTAACTTTTTGCCTTTTTACTACGTCCTAGAAACCACCCAAATGTAAATTAGTCCATAACCATGGACAAGATTGAGTCTCTGCGACAATAGACTATTGTGACGACATTTAATCTATGCCAAATGTAGACGCTGTAAGGGGCGATCCAGGTCGGCGCCAGACGTAGCCAAAAGCACAGTCCGCGAGGGGCTAAACTCTTGGATAGGGCATGCAGAGAGGTCCGCCAAAAGCCCGCACACATGGCCCTAACCCACTACCGCATCTCCCGTTCCAAATTTTCTAACCCCGTTCAGAAACCTCCGAAAACCTCTACCATGACATAAGTCGTCGGTGCAAGAGGACAAATAAATTCTTTTTCTAATCGTAAATACCTTCGGCAACGTTCAATTCAGGTTGTCACATAGACCCAGGACTCAATGATTCACACAACGCCGAAGATCTCTATCTTTGACAACGTCTTTTTATGTGACAAATGTTGTTTTATCACATTTCAAGTTTGACTGATCAGCCCAGACACTTTCCTTTCCACTACCAGATGGGGTTACTCCACAACTAACTAACGATAAAACTATACATAACTCCCTTGAACCATAAAAGCAGTAAGGTAGATGAGTAACCGTAACGGTAGAAGCTAAACACACATTACCAGTCATTAACATTAAACATGAGCTGTTAAACAAAAACATCAGTTAGAGTGTAGAAAGGGCTTAGTTAATAGGGAACAAGAAAGATTTCTAAAATTTTACCTTATTGATTTGAACATACATGAACCTTCTGATTCGAAAATCAGCCACACAAGACAGAAATCCCTAGCACTCGCTTCAGATGACTCTAATTGTGGTTGTTCTCAGACTTCTTCTCTTATAATATTTCGACAAATCCACATTCCGATAACCTCCTGCTAAGTGCCGGACGCACGTTTCTTCAATCTGTCGTGCAGAAACATAATTGTCAAATTCACCCAATCTCTTACTCTCAAATACAACTCCTTTTTGCTCTTTCCTTCTCGAAACCAGGTGCGAAGATTCGATCGAGCGGGCTAATAAGTTCTTCGATCCATAGCACTTCAAGTTACACCGCGTTGTGCCAACAAATCCAGCGATTTAGAACCCAGCGGAAAAGGATTTAATCTGCTTGCATATTCGTCGTAGCTTCAATCTGCTTATTTACGCTGAAACAAAGGTTTCGCACTCAGGCATGAGAATTACTCGAGCTAAGCTACAAATTGGGACCTCACAACGCACAACCACAAAACACTGAAATTTATGAAAAGTACATGCACCAGGAAGTAACGCGTGAGTAATTGCCTATTGCGAGTCCACGATACGAGAGAACAGGTTCGTTGTTCCTCTGTAATCCATCTAATTGTTTATGCGCCTTCATTACGCATTGTAACACGAAGTCTAGTTATCCTACAAAATTTTCACGATGTATACTCAAAGCTGTTTCATATTCACATTAGTGGAAACTACTAGCTCACCCCATGCTTTTGGCGAACATTTTTGGCATGGTACACAGATGTGGTTCCCTCCGTAGGACTGACAATTGCCTAGCGCCGCAGCGCCGGCAAACTCCACCCCTACCTGTGTAAGACTTTCCTCCAAATTCCTGCCATTGAATTCCGTTGCTCCCTCGCATTTTAACTGCTCCCCTCCCAAGTTCCGCACTCATGTCTCGCCGGCATTACACCACAGCAATCACCTTATGAATGACCGAAAGTCCCCACTAAGAATAGTATGTGGTGGTTGATGGATACTGCTCGTATGCGTTGACTGCTCTCCCCAGCAATCATAGACTGTACTATAGCAAAACACTAATAGACCTAAAGGCTTCTGTGACAACATGATTTCTTTAACAACCTGATGCGTTTTGCTTAGTTTCTTCATTTCTCCATTCACACATTATGCTTCTCTTCTCACCACTGCACTGTCATTTTGCGGACGGCACAAACATACATAACTAATACTTCTATTGAGCAAATCATACAGCACTATATTCAAACGCGACACAAAGTTAGCGCTTTATAAAATAGAAGGATTCTAGATCATACCATATGACTAGATACGGCGAGGTTCATCGAATGGTTGAATATGCTCCTTTTTCAGCGAAGGTTTTCCAAGTCCTACGAATTTCCCAATTGGTTCATTTCTAGTTTTCTTCATATTCTGACAACCTTGGTCATAAAGAGTATCAAGCAACCGTCTCGAAAATAATTTTGAGGTTTGCTACAGCAAAAGCAACTGAAACTTGCCTTTCATTGCCAGAAAACGTCAATTCGATCGAACTTTTACAGTTGTTCCTTCTGATAAGTCTGACACATCGAATATCATTCGAAACATTTTGTTGCATCCGAGTTTTGGGTATTAAAGCTCAAAATTCACGGATTTGATGTGAGGCGGCGGCGCCTGCAAAATCGCCGTGGTCCCACGCGGTGCAAAAACCCAAAACGCGCGTTGTCGTCAACGTGTTAAAAATGTGGTGTATAAATAAGCAGAGTCTGGAGCGCTACTGTTCAGAACCGCGATAAAAGCAGAAAACCTATTCAAAAGTCCTACAACACCTTGCCGTTAGCCGTTAACCCTTGATTAGTAAGCGAGAGACATTTATCACAACCAGCAAAAGGTTCGCGCACACAAGCAATGCCCCAGGCAGGGTCCCTTACCCTTCGACACTACCTGGTGTGAAAATTGAGGCGCTCGCCCTAGTCAAGAACAAGAAGAAGTCAAGAAGTATGAAGTGTCACTGAACGAAATCCCCTTGGAAAGCCGCTGGAAAGAGAGTTGAACGCCTTGAAGTGGGCGTAAAGGCAAATTCCTCCGCAACGCCCACTTGCCAGCCGTGGAGATCGCGTGCTTCAATGCGGGCCCTTTGCGCACTCTGCTGCGTTTCAAAATTTAATGCTTCCCTTTGCGCACTTGCCGCGTTTCAAAATTAATGCTTCCTCTTTTGGTTGATTCATTGTTTACTTCATTTAATTGTGGTTTTCCCTGGTTTGTACTGGTGCACATGCCTCGGCTTGTATGCTTGGTGCATATGCGATTACAGTCTGGACACGAGCCAGCAGTGAATGCCGGCGGAGCAAGATAGTTGGGACAGCTCGTCCGACACGCCTCTTCCTTCATTTCTAAAGGAAAGAGGGGAGTCCCTGTTTGGGCTTCATCGGCGTTTTCTTTGTTTTTTCCATTAGCAGTCAACTCGCCATCTACAACTTCATTATCGACCGTTTTTACCCGCGAATTCGATCTGGAATTGTTGCTTAAAGGGCGAAGTCGACCTTCAATGATACCATAACCCATCAATCGATAAACAACCAAGGAAGAGGAAAGAATGGGGGGAAAGAGAGAGAATGGAGACAGTGAGTCGCTGTATCTTCACTAATTATGGCCGATTTTGGCTTGAATCGGGCAAGCAAAGTTATTTTATAATAAATTGAGAGCTGCAGTAAAAAAATTACCATTGCAGCTTTTGAAGGTAGAGTTGTCATCATCAACCAAGCTAGGGAATACCCTTTTGCTTGTCTGCGCCAAAGCCTGACTACTAGCTGCACTACTTTTTTGGATGGACACAGTTTGATCAAAAAAAAAACTGGCCTTCTTGAAGAAAGCGGTAGCACTACCGTAGGGGTGGCCGTCGGCTCCACGTAGTAAATTTGTACAATAGCTCACCTCAGTAACCCAGCCGTCCTTTCGTAATCGAGCAACCAGAACTTCTTTAGCTCTTTCCTTCTCACCGGAGCTTGAGAACTCTAATTCAAGATCTTCTTTCGTTTTTATACCATTCATTTCGTCTGAAAACTCATGCTTAGATAACAATTATAAAAAAACAAGCTCAAGCTAAGCACACGAAGCTAAAGTATGAGGATCTTTGACTCTATACAAAAACTTTCACTCAATATGGAATAGTTTATTAAGGGCAACAATAAACATACACAACAAACAAAAACAACAAGAGAACAATGTATCATACATCAACAACTCAATTTTCTAGGAAATCTAATGAGCTTTACGAAGTTTGCTTCTTGAACCGAACTTTGTTCTGTTTTTAGCTTTTGAACCACTCCTCTGAATTTTCGATTTCTTCAAAATTTTCTTAGGCTTTGTGACTGTTGGCGCAGAAGACTCCTCTTCATCATGTTCTCCTTCGCCATCCAGTCGAGGTTTTTTGGTGTTACACCGCTCATTCAAGCGAGCTTTTCTGAATAAAACAGTAAGTACGAATGCGAATGCGGTAACGAGCTGAGAAGATTGGAAAATGGAAGTATCAGAAGATCGACAAATCAAATTTCAATCGTAGGGAAAATGTTCAATTTTTATAGAAAGAAAATTCACAGCCAACCTCACCTCTTCTCCATTTTCATCCGTTGCCGTTCCAACACAACTTCTTCCTGCAGTTTCTTCAGTTTGAGCGCAGCCTCGTCAATGTCTTTTGAAGTTAATTCCTTTAATTGAAATCTTCAGAGGAACCTTACGGATCCACAAAGCTGTTGAATGTGATATGTGAAAGTATCACTTTATTGAGAATCCGAAAAAAAAAGCTTCTCAAATTCACTCACAATTTCCGGTACCGGAGGCTCAAAATGGTAAGGATCACACCCCTTCGCTGCCTGGTCAAATCTAGAAAAACTAGCTACACTCAAAGACATGATGTTTTGTGAGATTGGTTAACAACTTACCTTTTGACTAGGTCATACAGCTTTCTACGTCGTCTAGAAATAGTTTCCGGCTTCTTACCTATGTCGAATAACATTTTACCCAAGGCAGCGTAATCAAACTGAAATAGTCGGAAAAAAAGCTGAGGAGGAAGTGAAGAGACATAGAAACTATGATGCAATGTGCTACCTGAATCCCTGCAGACTCCTCGTCTACATCCCCATCAGTCTCCATTTTTGAAGCAATCTCTTCCGATTTCTGATGCAGTATCGTAGCAAATACTTCCTCAGATATTGAGTCAAAGAGATAATCGCTGGAAGGCATTGACATTCAAACACTGATTACAACAACCAACGAGCCAAGGGTTCAGAAAATTAAACATTCAGTAGAGTCAATGAGTCAAAGTTCCGGAAATTCAAAAAAAAACTCCGTACCTGATGCCACGGATGCCTAGAAGATCTGCGAAAGGTTTGAGGCAGGCCGTTATTTGTTTCTTAGTGATACCACCTTAACAACAAATATCAGGAAATTAGTGCTAATCTGTTTTTTAAGAGTTTTCATGATGAGTTTACGAGATCTGTGACATCTCTCAAGAGTAACACTCGATAGAAGTGCTAATTTCGATGAAACTTCCAAATATTTACTGAAAAAAAAACTAACAAATCGTAGCTTCCGAAAAAACTACACACTAAAACTTTTACATTTTTAGTTGACATGCTGTGTGCGAAATTGAGCGAAAACTTCAGAACGAACTGCAATCGCTTTTTACAACTGGAAGCGATATCATTGAAAAGAAAATCACAAACGCCCACCTGCGTTGTCCATCTCGTCAAGAATAATGGCAGCGAAGTGGAACTTCAACCCATCGGGGAAAGATTCTATCTAAATATGTGACTTCAAGTACTTAATTAAAAGGGCAAGTGGAAAAGAAGAAGTGAAGTGCAGACCAGTTGAGATTGTAGTCCGACTAAAAGCTGCCCAATACGGTTCGCGAAAAGATTTCTTCCACTGGAGAGAGCTCAGGTGAGTAAACAACACTCGGAGAACTCGGCGCATCATCTGAAATAGAAGGACGGTTGCACAATAAGCACCCCTATGTGGTGACCTGAAGAGGTCGAAAACTGCATAAATAGGTAGAATTCAATAATGCGCAGGTGCTACGAATTATTGGCATTATTTCCTACTCAACAGTGAGCACTACCTCAGCTGAGCTGGATAGAATGAAAAATAAAAGAAGATGGCATTGGCGTGAAGAGACGGAGGGTCAGACAATTTCATGACCTTTGCTTTCTCTCATACTTTGGTAATCTTGGGATGCATTTGGAGTAATTACGGCAAAGTTGACGAAAAAATGCAAGAACCAGCAGTAAGTTCTAATGATTGAGGAGAAAATGGTATGGTATGCTACAGCAAGGCTCCCAGACAATACCTAACCATTTGGGCGCGGCCGCGGCGAACGCGGCCGAGTTGATAGGTGCCCGCGAACTCAGCACAGCACAGTTCGCGGGCACCTCGAGTGCGTTTTCAACGGTTCGCGGGCACAATCGACTCGGCCGCGTTCGCCGCGGCCGCGCCCAAATGGTTAGGTATTGTCTGGGAGCCTATGGCACACGCTAGACAATTACCAAAAAAGGTCTAACATTTTCTTTCAAAGAACTTACCATCAGAAACTTGTCCATACGCCACCGATCTATGTGATTCCATTCCTTAGCCAAACTTCTGAATATAGATTCAACGAAAAGTACACGTTCTTCCTCTCTAGTGAACACAAGTTGGAGCTGACTAATCCTATCTGCCAGCTCTTCCTAAACGAACAAACAGTAAAAATTTTCTGATTCAGGAAAACGGTCCACCAAGTTCTTAAATTGCCAGAACAGGTAATTCGTCGACCAACTATCACGAAGTTAAAACAGGTGAAATCAAAAAAAAAAGCTTTCATTTCGAAATTGGAGCGCAAATCAAGATTGGAAGTCTTTCCACTACAAGTATTCCGCATTTTTATAACTTTAAACACATGTTGACTCGGTCTCATTGAACACTGGAAGTCCCCATAAGTTGACACTAGGAATTAGCGCCAACCTTCATTTGAATTATTTCTTTCACAGTGGGATCAATGAAAAGCCAAGCAATTTCCAAGCAAGCCTCTCGAAATGTTGAGCGGGAAACTCGTCTGGCGATCTATTTCACGTTAAAGGAAGCGATTACGATAGATCTCACAGGGGTTTAGAGGGGACGTGAGGGTCTCAATAGTACGCCAATGGCGAAAAAAGCAAAGAAATCCGTCAAAAATAAGCAAATAGTACCCCTTTGATTGCCCTTTCATTTTCGACCATGGATGAGCGGCGACGGTAAAGAATGACGTTTTTTTCGGACGTGTTACATAGTGTTTTGATTGATAAGGCATTACATGGGCAAGTTGGAAGATACAGCCGATAAAAGGGAAACGATCTCCCAAAATGAAAAGCCAACAGCAGACAGCTCGCCCAAGTCATCTGAACAAGTGGGCGTAACGCTGCTGGAGGCGGAGTGCTGCGGAGGTCCTGCTCAGCAACCACAGCACCTTTCGCCGTGGAAGCGCCACACATTGCTTCCTTGGCAGCCAAGTAATTGCTCCGTGTGGCGCAGGTTCTCCCCCGATGCGAAAATTCCTTATCGTAATCGCTTCTTTCAATCCGAAATATTATTGAACAACCAGTACCTGCAGCAGCATTTTGTCTTGCATCCACAGCACATAATGGAGACCTTTACATAACCGAAGCATGTCCGCTTCATTGAAAGCTGAAAATATAACTGATATAAAAGTAATGAAACAAATCTGATTGGACCTCAGAAACCCACGTCGTACTGCTGATTGCTGCTTGATCCAATCCTGCAAGGTTCGGGAAGCTCGCTGTCGAGTGACCGGCTCACCACATGCTAATTTCTGAGCAAAAATCACCTCAACGCTTGACAAATCGGCTTCCATTACCTTAAAACAAAAATACTATCGAACTCACGGCTCGACAGCTGAACTAAAGCGTTAGAATCAAACGAGAGAGACGCGGTTGTGACGATCAGAATACAACACGGCCAATCATGCATAGACGTGGGCCCAAACAATAACCCCAGCGCAATAATAACTATGTACCGGGGATCCATGAGGTTCATTTCGCGTGCTATTTGGAAATTACGAGCACTTTTGTCGGTGAACTTAATAACGTGTGGTGCAAATGCGTAGCATACCGGAGATTTTACGAGGTGATGCTTCTTTGCATTTCACATTTCACTATCAATACTGAACACAGCCAAAAACCTCTATTGCGGGAACTTTTGTGCATGTCCAGCACGCTGAAGCGATCTGAGTGGGATCTTTTATCTATGTTCACGTAGGACCCTTTTGCTGTAATATTGCCCAGCGAGGCTCCCATTGGGGTCTTCTGCCGCTCAGAGGCTTCCTGTTTTTTTGGTATGACCTTTTCCAGAGCGTTTTTCTCCGTTTTTGCAAGACAAAGGAAATAATGACCAGAAGGAAATGCCATTACAGGTTTAGCTTTCTCAACTCCTAGCTAGGTGCCATAACCCAACTTAATGTTCGCTTCGTGTTTTGATCTCTCACTTCTGCGGGGAAGGGTTTCATGTCGTTTTCTGTTCTGTGAGCTGTTGTTGTTGTTGCTTGTTTGCTTTTCGCAATTAACACTATTTGTGGATTGGCTCAGCAGCGTGCACACTTGAGATGTCGTCTCGTCGGGCGCACCAACGCCCTGTACCTAAACGGTCGTGGGAGTACTTCACCCAATCTATCCCTCGCCGGCAAACGTGAAGATAGGGCCGCTGCCAGCCTTCCCAAACAGAAGAAGTATGTTATTTATGCTTGACAAGTGATTGATGCAGCAGAAAAGCATTCATGTTTTGTGTGAGGAGGAGGAAGAGGAGGGGGGTATTCTAGGCACATGAAAGCGACTTTCTTCGTCCGACGCAACGATCCTAAAACTTTTTCGCTGGCGGCGAACTTTCTTAGTCCCCCATAATAGGATGTGGAAACATGACGTGTCATTGCCGACAGCGAACGATTTTGTTATACCGTGCTTTCTGTAAATAGACTGTATTAGTAGTCCCACTTTCCAAGCTCCAAGGTACCGATTCCGTACCCTAGCTAGTACTAGCTGGCCCTCACCCCCCCAACCGCCACTAGAGTGAGCGCTAATCACTCCCGCCTTGGCGCATCAGGTTTTCGATGTGAGCGGGACGCAAGAATCTTTGGAGAGACATCAGTAGACTCGATGTACGGGACCCCGTGAGCCAGGGGGTGTGAAGGCAGTCTAGGGGGTGGGGGGTGAAGGGCAGCTACTTACTAGTACGAATGGTACCGGACTGAAGTTATAATACAGTTATTAATTAGCGATGGACAATATGAGCCGTATCTACCTCAGGGGGAAAACGTCCCCTCTGATTTCAATCCTCCCCATTGTCTCCCCCAAAACTGGATCCATTCAATGATTCCAGTTTTGTTAGAGACAAAAAAGGTTGCATCATAGGACCGCCATACCTCTGTGTTTCTATCTTTCTATCCGTCCACCCTCCACGTTGACTGCGCGTCTTTCTAACTGTCTGACAGAATAGATCACCAGTGGTTGGTGGCTGTCCTATGAGGCAGCTCCTTCTTATCTCCCCCTCCCCCCAAAGCTATGGGAGGATTGAGTCAGAGGAGGGGGACACATCCCCATGGGGGAAGGATTGAATACGGCCCCTGGGGAGTATGGGCGCTTAAAAAAAATAGCTGAAAACAAATTCTGTATCGCAATCGAGGACGAAGAACTAATCGCTTTATAGTAAGTCAGGATATGGAAGTCGATTAGCGTGTCTATGGTAAGTCGTGCAGGAAGCCGCACTTGATGGAAGCGCGAGCGCCAGCATGCTTTGCTGATATCCAGCGAAATATGTTGGGAGCCCATCCACACGGCTTCTTCCAAGTGCGACAACCCCCACGTCAAATCCATTGCTACGCCTTATCTGACTGCGAGATATCGACTGTAGTTGAGCGATTCAATTTTCTTTGCTTATACTTATCATTACTTATCATTCACTCTCAGTTCATACCGCTCACCACCGGTGTTTCCGTCCCACGCCCCGTGCAGCATACAAGAGTTAGGGTCTTACTGTAGCCATAAAGGCCACAACGAATTTGGTGGTACTCAAACTCTTACCAGGAGAGAGTCTTTCAGTACATGGAGCGTTTTTTTGCAAAATGGTTCTCTGTATTTGATAGAGGCATGTACAAATGGAACACAGGATTGTCAATTTTTTCTTCTGAGCAGGCCTATGGATACCACAAAAGGAATGAAATATCCGCCTAAGGATCAATCATGGGTGGTGACGAAATTTTGCATTCTAGAGGGTAGAGCCCACTAAATTGCGCCAAATATTGCCGGTGCCGGAAGGTGGTGTGCTTACGATCAGATTCATCATTAGACTTTTTAAGTAGGTCTTTGTCACCATCGTCATTTTTCACCCCAAATGGGGTGAAAAATGTATGATGCTCAGTGGGCTTCAAAATGGTGCTTTATAAACTTGAAATGGCCCTGTATTGCGCCGTCATCAAAACTGGACGCCAAATTCGTCATCAGCGCACTGATACGCTCACAAGAAAAGTTTTAGAGAAAATTATAAATGTGACCCAACTTTAAAAAAAACTGACCATGGGTGAGCTGTAGTCAGTGAAACAGCAGGCGTGCCAGTTGCATACGAGCTTTGAGAGCATAGCAAGCTGTTCGCTCGCTTCCGGTTGATGGCTGCTCGTCGAGCGCAGTCCTTCTTCAAGAGAGACATCTAGCATCAAGCAACTTTGAGCCTCAAAAATAACCCTATTATTGAGAATCAACGCCTGACTATGACGGAAGAGAAGCAAAGGCGAATACTCTTAGGTGAAATATGAAGCATGTAGCTTTGCAACACATGTAGTTTTTTACGGCCGTCATCTGTAGATTCAGTGAATACGATTGTTCATCCGGAGGTCGAATTCTCATTTTTGAGAAGAACCACATGATAGGATGATTAGGAGCTCGTCTTTATAATGTTCCCAGGGACATGACGGGCTACTGACTTACAAGAAGCTCATTTTTTCGAAGTTGCGTTGAAATTTCGATTTTCACCGAAACTTACGCTATAGGGGTTGGTTATCCACCGCCTCGATCACGAATATAATATTCACTTTGGTGCTGGGACCTTTCGGCGCAGTTTTGGCGCAGCACCATTTTCCACCAGTATTTCCAAAAATCCCACTCCAATAAGTATTGGTCCTGTTCGCGAATATGATATCCATTTGGCGCAGGTGTCATTTGGCGCCCAAAAGTGAGTGCCATTCCTGAATTCAAACCGCCATCGCCGAGCTGGAAGGTCCAAGAACCTCAGCCGTCTTCTCCGAACGTGGAGACCAATTCGCTGTCAACTGCACGACGAAATTCCACACTTCCCAAAGGTACGCCGACGCCCTCTATGAAATGGCCGTGGTTTTTTCCTAGCTATGTCAGGCCACACGCATAGTCGGTCGGACGACAGCAACAGACGCTGCTGTCGGACGACAGCAACGACTGCGTGTCGCATAAACCGCGGTTGCAAATGGAAGGCGACGCGGTCACCCAATGCTAACCCAGACAACACGTGACCAGAGTCAACCCTGCGTTGCGCAGTTCTCAACGGCCACGTTGCGCAGTTTCGCCCGATTAGACACGTTCTCTCGCGCGAACATTCACACTCGCATGCTCGAGCCGTCTGCGTCTCCGCCCATACAGCGTGCGTTGAGGATCTCTCAACGTGCCGTTGCGAACTGCGCAACGCAGGGTTGACTCTGCACGTGACTGCGCGTGATCGTATTTCGAAAGTCCCACTGTAGTGTGGAATAGTAGCTGCGTATTGATCTGCGACACTTACGATCGTTGCTGTCGTCCGACAGCAGCGGTCGTAAGTGTCGCAGTGTCGCAGATCGATACGCACCCAATGCTGTGCGACACTTGCAGTCGTTGCTGTCGTCCGACCGACTATGCGTCCGGCCTCATTGACAGCAATTCATACTTACAAATTTTTGCACCGTTTTCAGTGTCCAGTCTACGAGAATCCTTTCGACGATGCTATATTTTCTCTTCATTACTTGAAGGTTATAAAAAGTGCAGTCCCGGAACAAATTTTTTCACTCCTTTTTTGGCATTGAGGGTGCCACTCAGAAAAACTGTGCTCTATGCATGCACTTCTATGACACACGCAAAACCGTTGTGTAAACTTACTCCATCTACTGAAAGTCCTTCCCTTGTTAACTTCCTTATCAGGCAGTTATCAATTGTTATCACTTTTGATCACCCACTATCCGTGTTCCCGTCCCATCCCCTATACCACATGTGAGAGCCAAGGTTCCAATGTCACTGCGAAGGCCGCAACGAAACTGGTGGTATCCACACTTTGACGCCCTTATCAAATCTTATGCTGTTACCTTTCCATTCACTCACCCCAGCTTACACTAGTGGGTGCAAACCATCCACTGCCAACGCGAACAGCGTAACAAAATTGGTGACATCGGCATTCCGACACCCGTTATCAGCTCCTATCAGTAGTTATCACTTCCCGCCACCCGTTGATGTGCACGTTCAATCCCATATCTCAGAACTTTCCTCCCAGACCGCTCAAACTCCTAGGGTATATAATACCCTAAAAGTTGGAGCGGTCTGTGGGCAAAGTTTTGATTTTCCGACAGACGACAAATACGCACACACAGTCAGACACACACACACGAGCGGGTTATATGGTAGGATGTTACTACAGATGAAAGTGGTGATGAGATACGATAGATGCGCTGCTGGCAAACCTGCGATCCAAATCGGAATCGGGGCATCATTCTAGTGGGGGTTTTGTGATCCACCATCACTGACTATTGCAATGCAATGTACGCTATCCATTGCACTGCAAAGGTCCCATTTCTGACTTACATCGGTGTTATTCTCACACTGCCCCTAACAGGCTTGTCTACATGTGGTTTGTAGAACTGATTTTTGATTCTTGCTGTTTATAATGCGTCATTTTATGAGAAAGCTCTAGGCCAGACCGTAATCGTGCTCAGTGTTTTCTCAGGAAGAAAGTTAGTGAATTCCATTGGTAATATATAATTGTATTCAGTGCCTGAAGCCTTCTTTTTGGGAGGGAATTTCAGAATTTTGTTTAAGCGTCTGGACGGTGATACAGGGCTCTAATCGTGGAAGCCGTGCACCATAGTGAAACTGCTTGGATTCCTTATTATCACACGTTTATCACACGTTTTTTATCCCACCTCACTTCATCAGGTCCAAGTAGTTGCTTCTCAGTTCCACTGCTTGTTCTTCCCACTTTTGTGCTTCAAAACGCCTTGCTAAGAAAGAATTGTTGAGCTCTTACGATACAGATACATATCTTGGCAATGTAAAACTAAATAATAAAGAATAAGGGAGGGATGAAAATGGACTAAAATACACTCAATTGATCGACGTGTGCTTCGAATTGTAGGATATAGCTCCAAAATAATCCAGAATCTTAGCGAGCTGCTCTTTGAAGTGTCTTGGATGATCTTGACGACGACTACTTGCGCGCCACAATGAGAGCTCCCGCGCTGAAGCTCCTTTTCCCCCTTTTCTTTCGTTGGCACATTGTCTGGGATGGTTCTTCCCCTGCAAAGTTGAGGTGCGGTGTTACGATCTACCGGAACATCGGGCTAGATGTGTATATCGCAAGTCGGGTCGTTCCGTCCTAGTTCGCCTCTCTACTCCCCGCTCCCCCTCGCTAACGAGACCCACACCACTAGATGTGCTTTCGAACGCTGATCCTGGATCTGCTCTCCAAATTCTGGCGGAACGATTCTCTGAACGTAGTTATGAAGCGAAATAGTGCAGTGGCAGCTGCCCGGGCCGACGAACAATAGGTCGTGAGATCGATTTCTTGGCGAGTTATCAGTTTTTGCTTTTCTTTGAGAACATTGTTCAAAGGAATCTCATTTCTGCTTAGTCAGCGCAGGTCGATTCCTTTACAAGGGGATAGTGCTGGCGAAAGAGCTTCTGAATGATCCAATGCGCCTACGCCCTCATCTTCGTTCCTCATTATCATCTTACACTCGGCGAATCGTTCCGGTCCCCCTGTCCGCTCTCTCGCCAGGCCGTCCTGATTGGTAGCAAAAACAAACCAACAACATAGTGAAATTCGCCACAATGTCAACCAGCACGGAGGTTTGCGGTATTTGCGGGTCACTCATAGACCTGCCGCAATCGCACTTTAATGCGTTGCACTGTTTGTTTTCGATCACGTTAATGCCTCATCTGCTGTAGTCGTGCTATTGCACAGGGAGCTTGAATTAGGAGTGAAGAGGCGTTAATCAATACTTCATTAGTACCGAATTTCCATGTTCCTCGAAAATGAAGAAGGTATGGGCTAGTATTCCAATAGTAGAAGTCCGAATGCAGCGGAATAGGTGACCGCTGAGTGGGCTGCGTTGAACAAGGCCCAAAGTTGCTCCACGAGCACTTGTGATGATAAGCAGCTCTAACTGCGCATGGCACGGTGCTATCATAGTGCTAAGCTCGCTAGGCTTAATCCCTTGCTATATGTATGGGTTCAGCCATTTTATCATATCGTCACTGCCTTACCCGCTGAAGGGTTGTATCCAGCAAGGGGGCGGGGATGTACTGCAAGAAATAGTATCGCTAAAGGCGGATTCTACGATGAAAAGGCAGCTCATTGGAAATTAAGTTAGAGATGGTCAGTGATGCACGAAAGAAGAAAAAACCGAGAAAAATGGCCTAGAACCCGAGAAATGGGACCCTTCCTTGCCCGTTGATTTGCGCATTGATGCGACTCTCATCGTGCTGCCCTCTTCAACGCTAACGCTCTCTCTGCTGAACGGCTAGAGACTCAGACACGAGACGACGCGAGAGAGAGGGCGTACCGGGCCAATAGCGCGCCAATGGGCCGCGGGAAGGCCATGCTAAATCGTCGAGGGCATGTCCTTGATGCGTCGGTCTGCACCCAAGAGGACCTCCGTCTTTCCACTAGGTGAGTTTCCCTTCCCTCGACCTTCGTCCTTATCGGGGACTGCTCCTTCGGATAAATTTTCGCGAGAGAAAATGGCGTTGGGGTGGGTGTAAAAGCGAAAGCGAAATGGTTGGCGCACCTCGGAGATTACTTCCCGCTGAGAAGTTTGGAATTTCTGTGGGCGTACTTTCGCACAATATGCCCACTTGCTGTATGAGACCCTAGCCAAATTTTGGGAAATGATAGCTATGATGTGACGAACTAAAATATTGATCGTGTTCAGAAATATTCTGACTGGAAGACATAATTACTAACAAAAGGCATCTTATACGTAAAAAGGATGAAGCAGTTGCCGTTGATCAATTCCTTTTTGGGATGCGGCATGTAATCTACTTGCACTTGTACATTTGTTGTGGGCACTTGAATGCGATTGTGGCCTATACAATGACTTGCGGGGGCCAGCCGATGTACAAGAGTCAGCTTTTCCTTATCCTCCAAACAAGTCTGGTACCATTAATCCAATTAACCAGCCCCGGAGAGATGGGATGTTCTCGGTTGGGCCCGGATGACGCACGACCCACGATTCGACCCCGGACGCGCGCATGATGAGCAGCGCCATTTGCTACTACTCTACATTCACCCGAAACCATGGACCTACCTAGATCAAATGCTTGCTCTATTGTTGGACGAATATCGGGTATTAAATCGTTGGAAAATGCAAGTCCAAAGACGCCATCAAAGGGATCCTGAAATATTATACAATGTCCCATTTTGAAATGAAAAAGGAAACGGGACGAGAACATTCAGTTACATAGGGTTGGTCAATAATAGTAAAAAGTTAGAAAAAGTTGAAACAAAACTCAAAATTTTAACACAAAGTCGGCCTTCCAAACGTCATTCTTGGGGTGACACGAGTCTTTTCGTTCAGTGCGCCCAGCTGAAATGAATGTCAAAACTGCCCATCAAGTTTAGTTGAAGGACCAACCAAGACCAAGTTGGTGAGATAAAAACGCTCGAATGAACGATGAATTGTCGCCAGAGGGTTACTTTTATAAAGTCGATGAAAGAATGGTGGAGGAAAACTGTTATAAACGAACATCAACTACGCATTTGCTCCATGCTCTTTTTGGCCCCTTTGGGGATATTTGTAACTCCGTACTATTGTACCTTTCCGGCTGCATTTATCCATAGTGTTCAGCCAAGGTCAGCACACAAAGTTAGCCAACTGCCTTTGTATGAACCCCGAGCCAGCGCCTGGGGTTCGTGTTTAGATCAAAGAGGTGCCCCTGCACCCGCCCCTGTTGCGTTGCGGCCTCGGCAGTAGGATTATCTTCAGGGCTTTTAGCAACTTTGCGTGCCCCTTGCCCTTTTCTTTTTTTCCAGTGATCAGTCGTTACCGGTTGGCGCGGATTGGGTCAGCACTTTGCTTCTTTTCCTTGAACCTTTTTCTCCAAGTTTAATTTCAAGACAGTCATTCTCGTACCAACCCGGGTCCATTTATTCAGGATTTCTCCTGTTATGATTGACCTGTGAATAAATAATAAATAATTAATGAATAAAAAACTGTCACCTGCTCTGCTCATGCTCTCTGCTCCTAAACATTAATCAAAAATAGATTTTCGCTAGCATGGGCACCCTACATGTTCCTTTGGAAGTCTGGCACGGTGGACACCATAAGCAATAAAAAATGTGTATTTGAAAGGGCCGGGGGTGGAGTTTGTTGTATGGGTGGCGTTTCTTAGCGTAGTGTAAGGGAGGGGTCTGCAAAGCCTAAAGTTTATGTTTATTTTCTGTGGCCTTACGACACTTGCACCAACTCACCGTAACATAATCACTTCCGAGGAGCACCGTGGCAGAGCCAGCCGAAGATCTGAAACTTTCTGTCCTGTTGGAGGACATTCTGAATGAATCGGACTTGTTCCAATCAAATTTCCGTCTTTTTTTGCAGGCTTCACTGAAAAAGAATACCTTATAGTCTTTCGAATATGTGCTCGGAAGGAGGGTACGAATGTCACATTTTGTACTCAAAACCCTACCCGGGCATGGTCACCCATCACGCTGGGTCAATTCCGATATATGTAGAGCTTAATTTCTAATTGTTCTCATCGAAATGTCGAGGCTTTTGAGAAAATGTAGCGAAAAATGCTATTTTTGGTTACGGTACCAGCACGACGGCGTAGCAGGTTTCTGGGCGCGTGCACAGTCGGTCGTACGACACTAAGGCCGATGTCAGACTTTGCGAATCGCGCGATTCGCTACTAGCGATTCGCTAGCGTCCGCGGTCGCGTTGCGGTACCAGCGTCCGCGGTCGCGTTGCGGTACCAGCCAATTGAGTGATTCACTGGCCGCGACGCGACCGCAGACGCTAGCGAATCGCGCGATTCGCAAAGTCTGACATCGGCCTAACAGTGTCACAGCGTTCAGGCAAACGATCGGCACGTGGCATCTCAATGATGCGTGACGATCGACTGCTTGCACGGATGGCATGGCCCGCCTTTGTCGTTGCGAGGTTTGTTTACTTGCGACTTCACCATACAGTGACGATCGCTCCATGAATGCCAGAATAAGGCGATATAGCCTTCTGCGGGCGAAGCTTTTCAGAAGTGTTCGTCTATCAATTTCCATGACTAACTCAATTCACTTATCAATGCCAGCTGTCACTATAATCTACTAGTTGTCAGATTTAACTTAAAGCTGTCCTCATCTGTGTTGTGGCGTCTGTAGTGAAAATAAAATCCCCCGGCTGTGGAACACGAAAGTTTTTCTGTCGAAGAGTGAGTGGAAGATACAAAATTTTATCTTTCTCTTCCAATGAGAGACTTCGAAATTATGACCGGATTTGTCGCAATATAGGGGGCGCCCGGATAGACA